ATTGATATGAAGGGTCAATTGTTGGTGTTCATGTCTACGGTGGATATGTCTCCGGGGGTTGTGGTTGTAACATCCACACTCCCGCCTATTGATGTGATTAGTGAGGCCAGGCCGCTGTTGGGGCTGCCACCAGCCGCCATTCCCAATCCGAGGAAATCAAGGGTGGTGTGTTTTGGAGCAAACATGGAATGGTTTCCCCTTATTAGTTCCTTCAATCCCGAGTTCCCATCACAGGGGAGTCCGAGGCCGAGCCCTGCAGCGATCGACACGCCATCTGGTTCGACTCGCCTCTGGTGGTTCCGTGCCAAGCTCTCTTGCTGGGCAGCTGCAGAGGAAGATGACACAAAGCTTAAGCCACGAAGCAACGAGGCATTTGATGCCGCTGCGCCCACTTGAGCAGCTTTTTGGAGTAATGCTGTGGCGGACATTGCAGGGTGTGGCATTGGTAAGTACGGTCTGTGGTCTTGGCTAGCAGTTCCAAACATCTGGGGCCCTTGATTCATTGCAAGACATAGAGAAATAGGCTCAATGGTTGAAGATGGTGCATAGTCTGGTGAGCGATCTGAACAAGCCATGGCTTGCATTAGGTCTCTATATGGTATTGGAGGTTGGAGGCTCATCGACGTAGTTGAGGAAGCAAATAAGCCAGCAAATCTGCTACTTCTCGTGCTACCATTGCTGCTGCTGCTGCTGCTGCTACTCCGACTCGTACCCGACATATCGGGTGCCTCTTCGATACATTGCAAGCGATTCTCTGGCAGCTCTGAATCTCATAATTTAGAGTAAGCATTCCAGAAAAGCGTTCATTTTAAGAACAATAACAGACAACAACAAAAACAAACAAAAAGTAACAACGTTTTGGTTTTGGTTTTGTTGTTTCATGAAGACTTAAACCATACACGACAAAATGAACAAGGACGAGAGGTTGACTTCACCTTGACTTGGAACAGCCAACACAGTTGTTGGCTCACCACTTGACTGCGGAGGAGATGGAGGCGGCGGCGATGGTGGAGGCGGCGGAGAAGGCTCCGGATTCGGTTTCGCCACCAGTTTAAGCAGAGCTTTTGCCCTTTCCTCCGCCAATACATCACAGAATGCTCTATGTGTAATGAAGCTATCCCTCCTTCAAATCAAAACCCAATTCAGAATCCCATAAATCTCAACAAAAACCCAACAAATTAAGCAGAGGAAATTCAATTCACCTGTTAAACAAAGTCCCACAATCGCATTTATACTCACGAGTGCCACAAATTTTGGAGTGAGCTTTCCAATCGGACTGAACGGCGTAGTTCTTAGAACACTTACCGCATTTCCATTTCTTCTCGCCGTGCTTTCTGCAAAAGTGCTTTTTAATCCCAGTCAGATCACCAAGAGCTCTAGAGGGATCGTGATGAACACATGAACTCTCAGGGCAGACATAGACCTTCTTCTTGACCTCCTTACTTGACCTCTGCCGGAGCTTCCATGGAAGATTGTGTCCTCGCCGGTGAAGCTGTAGATTCTGATCCCTCTGAAACCCCTTGTTGCAAATCTCGCAAACAAATCGATTTGTGGCCAAAAGGGTCTTCGGAGACAGAGCAATTACTTCCGCTTCCGGATCTGGGAAAAACAAGAGTTCAAATTCAATAGTTAAAGAACAATATACAAAATAGTAATGGAAAGGCACCTGGCATTCCAGGGAGGTTTCGCTTTTTCCTTACGGCGGAGTTGGGAGGCGGGACGGGGTTTCCGGGGGTGGAGACGGTGGGTTCGCCGGAAGCCGGTGAGGAACTGTCGAAATCGACCGGCATGGTGTTAGCAGAGATGAATCAAATTCGAGAGACGTAATGAAGAAGATTTGAGAGCATTTATGTATTTCGATTGGGGGAAAATGTCTATGCGGGGGACAGCAATGTTTGTTCTTCTAGGGATTTTGTTTTTCCTTTTCTCTATCTAAATCTCAATCTCAATCTCTACAGAATCCCACTAAACTAACACCACCTCCCACGACGGTGAAGGAACTCACGCCGTCCATCGGCCGCCGGTGGCGGTGGCGGCGGAGGAGGAAGGCGAAATACTGAAAATGTTGGAGCCAATTAAAACTACATTTAAAGTTCCAATAATGCCGTAGAAATAAGTTCAAGCCATATTAGTGTGGTACCTGTCCAAACAACTCTGGTCTTTCGAGTTTAGATTAAACAACACGTAAAATCTTATGACCAAATTTAAGACACGCTATTATTTGAAACTAACTAAAATTATTCTCGTGTTCGCGTTCGAAGGTCATAAGGTAAGTTACATAAGTTTAACAGGGTAATAAAACGAGCGAAATCACAAAAATTTAGACAAAAATAACGGCGAGTTATATCCTTGTTACTCTGAGATATTTTTTGGGTTTCTATAGATATGTCCTATACGGTCGCGTTATATTAAACATGATGTCTTATCATACCATAAGTAGCGCTGATACGACGAAGATGAGAAATGAAAACAACCTGTTACTTACGGAGAGAGACCGGCTAATTCAAGCAAAAAGGCACCTTTTTATGTCCATTCATTTGATTCCTTCGTCCTTTAATTTCAACCATTATTGAGTGAACCTTTTACCTTTCATCGCACCACACTCATTCAACCATAATTGGAGTATCCCATGGAAAAACAGCATACAACTACTAGATATTATCTGCTACATTCTATTACGTTTCGTCAGCTTTGGAGTTCTTAAAACATGTCTATTAGGGAGAGATTTCTATACGGAGGGAAAAATGAAGCCCTCCTTATAAGGGTGTAGGAATATCTCCCTAATGGACGCATTTTGAAAATCGTGAGGCTAGCAGCGATACGTAACGAACTGAAACGGACAATATCTGCTAGCAACGGACTTGGACTATTACAAATGGTATTAGAGCTAGACACTAAGCATTGTACCATTGAGGACGTTGACCCTTAATAAGGTGGATTGTGAGATCCCATATGGAGAGAGGAATAAAACATTTCTTATTAGGGCGTAGAAATTTATTTTTTAACGTCATTTAAGATTGCAAGAAGAGGATGACTCTAGAATGCTTCGATCCTATGCTTGAAACGACATAACGACACATTCTAATTGATATTAATTAAATGTTATCGTGTCATAAAAGAATCGGTTAGAAGTACAAATTTTTCGATCAAACTTACTGTTCGAACCAAATAATCAACCAAATCATTCTCGTGACGAACTGATAATCAATATCTCAATCAAAATTATCAATAATAACATGAGAAGAAAAAGGGATGCAATAAATGGATATTTCCCCCAATTTACCATAATTCAGGCTTTTCATTGCTTTAACTTTATACAAAAAGTCTTCCATCATTAAAACATTCCCATTCATTGAATCCTGATTGATTACGTATCGTCGTCAGTCTTGCGATTTTAAAACACGTTTATTAAGGATAAATTTTCACACTCTTACGAGGAATATTTCGTTCTCGTCTCTAATTGACATGAGATCTCTCAACTCACCCACTTAGAGGCTAGCGTCTTCGTTGGTACACCGTTCGATATCTAACTCTAATATCATTTGTAACCGTTCAAGCCCACCGCCATTCATGATTTTAAAAAGCTCCTTTTAAAAAGCTGACTGGACTCTCATTTTTTCTGCTAATCTGACCTGGAAATTATTATAATCTATATTATTAATGTCCCCTTGATTCTTATCTTTTCTTAATCATAAATTAAAAAATACAAAAATAAAATAAGAAACTATTAAAGTTTTTAAATATATATATATATTAAAAGTATATGAAATAATATGAAAGGGATAGCCATTTATAACTTACTCAAAGCTTTAGGATAGCATCAATGGCAGGCACCACCGTCAATCGTCGGCTCTGTTGATGGAAAGCTGGCGGCCACCCGTCTTGTGGTGGTTGCCCACTGCTTGTTTGGTGGCCGACAATACTAAAAGGCCCAAATCTTATCCTGGCCCAATGTTAACTTAAAAGGCCCATTTATATTGTTAAAGTGGGCCTATCAGTTTCTTTGGATGGGCTTAGCAATCTACTTGAGCCCATTTTCGGTTGAAGGTGATAATTAATTGCCTTTATTATTTTATATTTTCTACTTATATTTCCTAATTACGATAAATAATATATTAATTATTGGATGATTAGAAAAAATATATATAATTTTATATATCCAAGTCATTTTACCAAATGCACAACCAAAGAAGAGATATTTACAAAATTGCCATCTAAAAAATTAGCAAATAAATAAATAAATAAATAATAAAAATAGCCTACTTATTTCTTGAGATGCCCTTATTACCCGTTCCTTCGATTTCCATGTCTCAAGTAATTTAAAAAAAATGAGAATTTAATTTATAATATATTTTTATTGTATTTAATAATTAATATTTAATAATTTTTTAAAGTATGTTTTTTAAAAAAATAAATTAAACAAGAAAACTACCAACCCGACTTTAGAGAGTGTCCAACCAAGGAGGCTAGAAGTCAGGAGTGAGCTGAAACGAACATTACAATTTTTGTGCTTAAAAACAGTTCCAGTGTCGGATTAAATCAAATTGAGTTCGTTCCAGAAGAGAGAACAAGATTTCGATCAAATCAAATTGAGTTCATCCTTGTCAATCCGACAGGAACAGGACATCCAGTTCTGAATTCAAACAACCGACTCAGTCCCCATAACACAAATCCTTTATGAGCTTTTCAGCTCTATCCTTCAATGTCCAAGATCGTATATAATTGTTGAACTGACGAGATTTTTTCAGAAAACAACCGATCAGAAGAAGATATCGAAATGGAGAAGACAATGGCGGGCAATGCTTTTGCCGGAGAAGCCTCCGGCGAAACTCAGAACAAGCTGAATAAATATTCTCTGGCTTGTGCTATAATTGCCTCTATTATCTCTATCATATTTGGTTATGGTGAGTTTTTTATTTTCGTGTTCATTGTGAAGAACAGAAATTGGGGTAAATGTTTAAGTTCATGCGATTGAAATTTTAATTTTGCAGATACGGGTGTTATGAGTGGAGCTATGATATTCATTAAAGAAGAATTGAATATCGATGATGTTAAAGTGGAAGTTCTAGCGGGGATTTTGAACCTGTGTGCCTTGGTGGGATCGTTGATGGCTGGAAGAACCTCCGACATCATTGGACGCCGGTATACGATCGTTTCAGCGTCGGTGATCTTCATGGTGGGCGCTATTCTGATGGGGTATGGTCCAAATTACGCAGTCTTGATGATCGGAAGGTGCATCACCGGCATTGGAGTGGGGTTTGCGTTGATGATTGCCCCTGTTTACTCTGCTGAAATTGCATCGCCGTCATATAGAGGATTTCTCACTTCTTTACCGGAGTTTTGCATCAGCTTCGGTATCTTAACGGGGTATGTTTCGAATTACTGCTTCGGGAAAATGGCGGTGAAGATCGGCTGGAGAATGATGCTCGGAATTGCGGCGATTCCGTCGCTTGTTTTAGCTCTCGGAATCTTGAAAATGCCGGAATCTCCACGGTGGTTGGTGATGCAGGGACGGCTGAAAGAAGCCAGAGATGTTCTAGCGAAAGTGTCGAATACAGAGGAAGAAGCAGCGATGCGATTCAGAGATATTAAACTCGCGGTAGGAATCCCCGAGGATTGTGAGGAGGACGTTGTGAAATTGAACAGAGACACTCACGGCGAGGGAGTTTGGAGAGAGCTATTGATTACCCCGACGCCGAGCGTGCGGTGGATTCTGGTGGCGGCGGTTGGTTTGCATTTCTTCGAACACTCTACGGGCATTGAAGCAGTCATTTTGTATAGCCCTAGAATCTTCAAGAAAGCCGGAATCGCCAGCAAGGACAAACTCTTATTAGCCACCGTCGGCGTCGGAGTGATCAAAACGTTGTTCATCCTCGTCGCGACGTTCTTACTCGACAGAGTCGGAAGAAGACGACTGCTATTCACAAGCACAATCGGGATAACGATTTCGCTCACATCGTTAGGGTTTGCTTTGACAATGGTGGAACATTCAAACGGGGAGTTGTTTTGGGCGTTGATTCTAAGCATCTGCTCCGTTTATATGTACGTCGCCTTCTTCTCGATCGGAATGGCGCCGATTACCTGGGTTTACAGCACTGAAATTTTTCCGTTGAAATTGAGAGCGCAAGGGACGAGCATCGGAGTTGCGGTGAATAGAACGATGAACGCGGTGGTTTCGATGAGTTTCATTTCGATCTACGGGGCGATTACGATCGGTGGAACTTTCTTTATGTTCGCCGGAATCTCTATAATCGCTCTGATTTTCTTCTATTTCTTCTTGCCGGAGACGAAAGGGAAGTCGCTGGAAGAGATTGAAATGCTGTTCGGCAAAAATGCAGAGCCGTCGGCGAAGGGAGACGGTCGAGCAAAAGACGACGTGTAGTTTTGAAGCAGTCGGTAGAAATAAGACATGTCGGCCACGAAGAAGGATGATGTTCATCTCTTCTCCGGCTGTTCGTTTCTTTTAAATTGCAACTTCGAGAAAAAGTTCCCTTTCCACTCCACAAATTATGATTCAAATGTATAATTTGAATGTGTTTGGTTTGGTTACTTAATTGAATTGAGAAATTTAAGTCTCCATTTCTTATTTCTTTCTATAAATATATATTTTTAGATAAATTATGCTTTATGCGGTTATGACTTTATAATAATTTGTCAACCACAACTCAATCCGCTCCTATCACTAAACGTAGTTTGAGGAATCTGATCTCATCGGATCTCATCAGGGCGGGCGAAAGGGAAGGAAGGGATGGGTGATTCGGGAACAGCAACAGGAGAGGGCTCGTAGCCCCTCCTCTCCCTCTTTCTCATGCCTATTTGTTCTCCCGACCTCGGAGAGATGCGTAACTCTTATTTTTTAATAAAAAGATTAATGGATAGGGCCATGATACATTCTGAAATATTGTTGTATAAGGAATAGATTCTATTCTTTTCGTCCCTGCTTGCTTGATTTCTCATTGCAAGTGAATGAAGCTCTGAAATTGGTAGTTATCTTGAGAATTTGAACCTCCTTAGTATATGCGAGAATCGTGTGCTACCTCAGCTTGATTGTATTCTGACTATTTGGTTCAACGATTACGGTCAATATTGCCCTCCAATGGTATCATACGCAAGCCTTCAATAATTGTCGTCATGGTCTTGAAGAATCCGACCTAATCCATCTCTATTTGTATATGTGTCCCTAACTGCATCAACATTCAAGCAATGACTCTTGTCTATCTACTACAAAACTAATTCTATTTGGTGTTGGACGCGAACAACTCATGTCCAAGGTGAGTGCCTTGATGTTGAGCATAGATCTAGATCTATGTCCCTTTTGAAGACCACCTGGGGCATAATCCAAAACATCCTAAGATAATAATTTTAACCTCGTACCTATAATAATTTTAATTTTATTATTTACTTTCTAGATTTTTTAAAATCAAATTTTAAAAACTGAAATTATGTGTATATATATATATAGACACCAAGAACAATTCAATTATAATATTTATAAAAAAAATTAGATAATTGAGTGATTAATAACATATTAAAAAGAAATAAAAACAACATGAATAGATAATATCAAAAGATTATAAATTTAAAAGAAACTATGATTAAATAAAAATAAAGATAGGATAATAATGAAATAACATTAAAAAAAGAATACCCATATTAGATAAATATTTATTATTTATTATTAATTTTCGTTGGTAAAAAAGACAGGGTGGAAAATAAAAGGAAAAGAAATAAAAATTGTACCCACAAGAGAACTAGAAGCAAGGAGAGCCTTTACCCCATTTTATTCCCATCCTTTATTCCCCCTTTCTCCCTCCGATTCCCCACATTTTCATTTTCGGATCGGATCCAGCCATGAGGCGTCTGTGTCCCAACATCGACCGAGACGACGGGCTCGAGACGATTCTGGAGGTCCCCATCCCGGAAGAGCTCTTCACCAGCATGGGCAGCAACGTCACCCTCCGTTGGCAAAACATGTCCACTTGGATGAAGGCCCAAACCTCCGACAAATGGTCTTCCCCGATCATCGCCAATCGCTTCAACGAGCTCCGATTTCTCCTCTACCTCGTCGGATCCCCCCTCATCCCTCTCCAAGTGCAGCTCGGCCACTCCGTCCACCGCCCCGTCAGAGATTGCTCCATCGTAAGCAAACAGATTCCAATCGATTCCGTTGCTCGTTCATTGGGATTTGGATTTTAATGATTTTCGTTGCAGGAGGCTTCGACCGCGAAGTACATTGTGCAACAGTACACGGCGGCGACGGGAGGCCCGGCGGCGTTGAATTCAGTGCAGAGTATGTGCGTGACCGGGCAGGTGAAGATTAAGGCGTCTGATTTTCATCTGTCGGATGTGAGCATCGAGGTGAAGAAGAGCACGGAGGAGATGGGCGGGTTTGTGCTTTGGCAGAAGAATCCAGATCTTTGGTGCTTGGAGCTCGTGGTTTCGGGTTGTAAAGTTATTTGCGGCTCTAATGGCAAGGTTTCCTGGCGACATTCTTCTAATAATCAACAATCTCCCATCTCCTCTGGCCCTCCTCGACCTCTGCGCCGATTTCTCCAGGTACATTGCAATTTTCATAGCATTTAGGATACATCTCTGTTAGTATTAGGGCTTCCTATTAGATAATTTTTTTGGAAAGGTCAAACCAAAATTATTAGAGCTTATACTCAAAGTATTGTGAAATGCTATGATTTCTAACATGATATCAAAATTATGTCCTTAATTTAATCCTGTTAATAAGGTTCGGAGTAGCTGCATAGTATATACTGAGAATTTATGTTCAAAATGGGCAGGGTTTGGACCCAAGAGCGACCGCCAACCTATTCATAGATGCGATGTGTATAGGCGAGAAGCTAATCAACGACGAAGACTGCTTCATTCTAAAGCTGGAAACGAGCCCGGCGATTCGCGAGGCTCAAAGCGGCTCCAATTACGAGATAATCCACCACACAATTTGGGGCTATTTCAGCCAACGCTCCGGCCTCCTCATCCAATTTGAGGACTCTCGGCTTCTACGGATGCGAACCAAAGCGGGCGAAGACGTCTTCTGGGAGACTAGTACTGAGTCCTTCATGGACAACTACCGCTACGTCGACGGCGTTAATATCGCCCACAGCGGCAAGACCAATGTCACCGTCTTCAGATACGGCGAACAGTCCGCTAATCACAAGCGGGAGATGGAGGAAACTTGGAAGATTGAAGAGGTGGATTTCAATGTTTGGGGGTTGACGATGGAGAGCTTTCTCCCGCCGCCTGGCACCGCCCTGTTGCAGTTGCAGGAGGGTTGCTAGATGCCGGCTCAAGGATATTCAATTTCTTATTTTGTATATAGAAATTTTAAAGTTTGTCCTAATTTTCTGTAAAATTTGATCGTGTATCGCTCTTGTCTGTTATGGCAAGGAGTTCGATTATTATTATTTTTTTTTCCAATTTTAATTATGTTTTTATTTCTTATATTGTATTTTTTTATTAAAATATATTAATTTGAAATTATTCATTACAATGTTGTAGTTTCAAGCTAGGTCATGAATGGACAAACTTATGATTTTAATATGCGTCTACTAGGGAAAGATTTTCACACTTTTATCAGGATTGTTTCGTTCCTAATGTGAGATCTCATAGTCCACCCTCTTGTGTCCCTAATGTCCTCGTTGCTCCACCACCCACTGTCTCACTCTGATACCATTTATAATAGTCAAACCCATCGTTACTTATCGTTGTCAGCCTCACGATTTTAATACGTGTTTTAAAATCTTGAGAGGAAGACCCGAAAGAAAAGGTAAAAAAACGACAATATCTATTAACGGTGAGTTTGTACTATTACAACTATTGAAACCTGAACAAAAAAAAATAATAATAATAATAAAACGTGGAGGTCAAATTGATGTTTTACCTATTTGAGTTTTTTAATATTTAAAAATAAAATTTAAATAAAACATAAAATTGTAATAAAATAAAATGGAGGGAGAGAATATGGTTTAAAAAACACGCTAAAATACAACGACGTCGTTTTTGGTTAGGTGGTGTCAGTCATATAAGGATGGTTGAGAACATTAATACTTGGCGACTACGGCAAAGATTCATCCCGCCACGTATTTTTATTATCACTTGAGATATTAATTAAAATGAAATAGTGAAATCTTAACCATAATTATAATTTATAATTACTTACATAGATCAAGCAATCTCTTTTAAGGAACCCTCTGTTTCCGTCTTTATCTCTTCTTTATTTTTTTCTCTCTCTTTTCAGTGAGAGAAGAAATCTCTTCTCCGTCCAAATCTGGGTGTATCTTCGATGTGTAGTGCAGAAGAACGAGGGCATGATTTCTCGTTTGTTCTAGAATCGATTCTCCAGCAGTGAGTCTAGGCTTTTGATTTTTGTTTCTCCTTCTCATTGTCGTTGATCGATATGAAGGACGACGATGTCCTTCCGACGACGATAGCGAGTGCCGGGAGGAAAGAGAGCTCGGTTTCGAGTTTATTCGGCAAATGCCGTTACAAGTTCTGGGCATTGGCTGCCATTTTGTTGCTCGCATTTTGGTCCATGTTCACCGGTACTGTCTCTCTTCGATGGTCCGCTGGTAATCTCAACGGCCTGTCTGATAATATCGATTTTAACATCCATGACGATCTCGATGTGCTTGTTAGTGTCTCTCATTCTCTCTCGCTCTCTCCGTGTATCTATTCGTGATTTTTGAGCTAGATCTTGATGGAATTTAACTCATCGATTTCATGGTTTTTCCCACAATTGTTGGCTTCCAATTTTAGGAGATGGAGGAAAGGGAGAAGACAGTGAAGCACATGTGGGACGTTTACACAAATAATCACCGTATCAGGTTACCGCGTTTCTGGCTAGAGGCATTCGAGGCTGCGTACGAGGACCTAACCAGTGAAGTGCCTGGTGATAGAGAGGCTGCTATCTCCGAGATCGCCCGGATGTCCGTGCGCTCCATTGTTATTGATACGCCTTCAGAGAAATCAACGGTTGGTTATTTACTCTCTCATGCTTAAGTTTTAATATCCCCTGATTATCATCTTATGTTCTTAGCTCACGAAAACGGTATCTAAGGGCATTCTATGGACTATAATTACAAACCAGGAGCAGTTGGAGTTTAGTTTTTTTTTCTCATTCCTAAGTCTGAATGTTGCAATTCTAATAATCATTAGGTGGGAAGTTATCTTAAAACAAAATGCTAATGGTATAGCCTCTGCCTCCCCACCTACCCACTTTAACGTAGGTTTTATTCTTCATAGTTGAACTGAAATTGCACTTTGTTATTTGATGAATGGGATTCTTCATAGAAAAACGAGTCAATTACTATGAAGTGCAACCCTGTGTTTCCATTGGATGAATGGCATCCTGTTCTTGACTCTTGATATCGTTGCCTATTCAGAAACTTGACAATTTGTATGACTCCTTAGTCGTTTTAAATAATTTTCTCAAACATTATCAGTGAAGTTGGGGTTCTTTACTGGAAGCTTGCTATATTGTCTGCCAAGCCAGTCACTTCATGTGATTTACAAGGGACCAAAGGTTAACTTGTCAGAGTCTTGTAACAGTTTTTACCTGCTTTCTAATACTTCCGTTCATAACCACTTGTGGATGATGGGTTGCCACTTAATTGTCATACTCGTTATAGCTGCCTTTGATAAAGAACCATATTTGTCTCAAATAGGAAACTGCATGTGAGATCTCACATCGGTTGTAAAGGAGATCGAAGCATTCCTTATAAGAGTGTGGAAACCTCTCCCTAGCAGACGCATTTTAAAATTGTAAGGTTAACAGGGATGCATAAGGGGCCAAAGCGGACAATATCTACTAGCGGTGGGCTTGGACTGTTACAAATTGTATCAGAGCCAGACACCGTACTACCGGTGAGGATGCTGGGCTCTCAAGGGGGTGGATTGTGAGATCTCACCTCGGTTGTAGAAGAGAACGAAACATTCCTTATAAAGGTGTGGAAACCTCTCCCTAACAGACGCGGTTTAAAATCGTGAGGCTAACGGGGATACATAACGGACCAAAGCGGACAATATCTACTAGTGGTGGGCTTGAGCTGTTACACTTCAAGTTTATTATTCAATGATCACTAGCTTACAAGGACAGTGAGGTTTGTTATTACCTGCTTGCAAAACTGTTTCCAAGTTTTGGAATAGTTTTAACCTGCTAGCTAATACCTCCCTCCACAATCAATTGTGGATGGTGGGTTGCCTCTTAATTGTCATCCTCGCTATACTGCCTGCGGTAAAGAATTACAGCCCTGTCTCAAATAGGAAACTACGGTCTCAAACAGGAAACTGCAAGTTTGTTGTTCAGTTATCACTAGTTTATAAGGGTAGCGAGGTTTGTTGTCTTCTACACTCCCTGCAGCCTGAGATCAAGTTCTTCATTCTATTCTGCAAAATATAGTACTTTTATATGGATATGGTTATGGTGATTTACAAAAGCCGAGGTTATCTTTTCCTCAAACACAGCTGCCTGATAAAGAATTATTGAAGTTCAGGGTATCTTGTTGTCCTCACTATAGCTGCCTGATAAAGAATTATAGTAATCTCAAATAGCAAAAATAGAGTTTGTTCTTCAATGATCACAAGCTTTAAGGACAGGGAGGTTTGTTATCCTCAAAAAGATCAAGCTCTTTTGTCTATTATGAAAATAGAGAACTGCTTATAGAGGTGCTATCTGGCGATTTGTAGAAGTGGAGGTTACCTTGTACTTGGGACAGATTTTTGTTTATGAATCCGTTATTCTTAAAGAAAAAACAACTTTTATTCTTTAAAATAGTTGATTACGAGAACAGACTAAGAGGGAGAAAAAAAAACTTTAAAGAACAAGTTATACAACAAGCATTCACTGCTCCTTTTTGTTCCCAAAACTAACAATTTAAACTCTTATGTGTACTTAATGCATTGGCTTTGTTTATGATCGATGGGAGAACTTGACTCCCACGTTGAATAGACTGCAAACCAATAAAGGGAATCCTGCTTCTGATCTAATCTTGTGTTTTGATAGAAATGATTAACTAATGAACGTCCTTCTAGGACGGGAGGAAATTTAATAATTCTTATTGATAGTAATTTACTATAGTGAAATGCAGACATATTGGTAGATATGATCTTTCACTGATAGTGCTAAGCATATCCTTCAATTTCATTGTAAAAGCTATTGCTATAGCAAATGGTATCCCATATGTCACATATTCTTACACATGCAGACATGACAATGTACTCTAACCTCTATTCTCTGTACTCTTCTTATATTCTCTTCTTATATTATCAGAGTGCACGAGAATTCGCAAAGATGCAAAGAAAAGCAGATAAAAGCAGGGAGACCAGCTACCAAAACTGGGAGTAAGCTGTGAGATGGATGATGTTCATGATGATCTAAGGTTCGAGACCTCTCTATTCTGCCCTTTCAGCCACTAGATTGCTGTCTGAAGTTTGTTAGGAGGCAGTGATTGGCAAATCTATATTCTTTAAAATTTGATTCTTCCCCTTTGCTTTAGTATTGCAAGATGGGTCAAACAGCGTTTTTGCCTAGAATGTTATAGTGTTAATGTTATTTATAAAGATGAAAGATCAATTTTGTTCAAAATTATACTTCCAAACCCATCACTTGCATATTTTTTTTACTGTCCTATTTGCATCTCTGTGATTGCTGCGGATGATTTATGTGCTTAGAACTTTGGATAATTTCATATTCCCCTGCTTTGGCCGTGTAACGCCCGCTCATCGCCAACGCGATTAACAGGAGTTACTATCGACAATATTAAGAGACTCCGATACCCAATCATAAAATTAAAAATATTTCTGAAAACATCCAGTAAAGTATTTCTATAAAAGAAAAAAAACAGTACTTTACAAAAAACTTAAAACGACTAAGGTAAATTCTTGACAACGGAAACATAATTACAGAACAGACCCAGACATGGATTTCCAGTAGCCTCTAGCCCGCTGGTCTCGTCCTCGGCTGACCTGCAGCATCTACATCTGGAAAGAAAAGTTATAATAATTCTGATGAGTAATTAGATTACTCAGTAAGTAGCTAGTTTATCATTCACAGGTTCATAACTAATCTTTCCAGGTGTTTTTACGTTTTATTCATCACTGACTCCTAGTTCTCTTACTAGGGTCATCTGTTCGTTAATGAGGTATCTCAGCTACCTCCAGCTAGGTTACTGACTCTCTCTCGATATGCTTATCTAGAATTTTCGGACTCGTATGTAAGACTCGCTCTCGGTCAAATACGGCCCGTCTACTAATTGCTCTGGCGGCCTGTTTATCTCATATACCAACGGTCAGGAGTACTCATGCTCCCTGACTTAGCACACAGCGCGTTGGCCAGGAACTCCGCGGGAATTAGTAGACTATCATACTCAGTAAATAAGCCATAGCTCAACCACCAATAAGCATATCTAGAGTCATAACCTTTCCATTAACATGCATAACATACTCACAGTTACTGCATGCTTTCATACATGTATCA